TATGTTCTGGAAGTCATTTTACAACGTCCATTTGAAATAAGAATGACAGATGCCATTAGAATGCACACTCATCTGTTTAACCTTATGTATACCCTTACGGTTAAAGTGATCACTTTATCTATCCTTACGGTCAAAGAACGGCTTGGCCTACTCATTCAAACCTATTAAAATGTGATTTTAACATATGCTATAATAGTACATTATATATCAAGGTAGAGAAGTCCACTATTATTGCCTGAGCACCAAGATTACATCTCGAGGCGCTTGCGCCGAGGGGTGTAAGGTGCGAAGTAATAGACTTCTCTACCGTGGTATATATACTATTTTTTTCACTACTAGCACTTGAAATCCTCTAAATTAACATATTATATTGATAAGAGAGTTAACGGTTGGACAGAATTGTTTATTTCTTAATTTAACATGTCAATCAAGTACGTGGAAGTACAAGTCAAACAGGCCGTATTTTGTTCTGTCATTGAGATTTTTCAAAGAGTAATTTCGTTCGAATTTTTTCAAAATGTGATAATTTTAGGTATGTAATTTCTCTGGAAATTGCGAATGGTGGCAATTATTCGTTTTAGAGAACTTGTCCAAACGTTTATTGAGCGAAGTTTCGGGTTGTGTTTTCTAAAAGTGACAGCGTGACAGTTCTCATTATTGACTACTAGTTAATAATAAAAAATTATTAACCCCTTTGAACAAATGCCGAGAAAGCCTACTTTACAAGTGGAAAAAAGGTTAATAATCATGTCATCAGACGCTAGTAGTGAAAAAAATAAAGTATAATATATAGTTCTATTTTAAGGTTAGGGTCTAAAATTATATAAAAGAAAAATTTACATAGGCAAACGAAGTCAAAAACGAATGAAATATATAGCGCTCCATTATTTTAAGGTTGGACGTCACATTCTTAACAATATATTTTAATTTAGAGGACTTCGAGTACGAGTAGTGAAAAAAATAGTATATGCACCACGGTACAGAAGTCTATTATTGCTTTTGCACCTTACACCTCTCTGCGCAAGCGCCTCGTTATGTAAGCTTGCTGCTCAGACAATAATACTGGACTTCTCTATCTTGGTACATATATAATGTACTATTTTTCACTATTATCTTATGATGAGATGGTTATTATGGTCAATAATGATATGATTATTAACCAGTAGTAAATAATAAAAACTGTCGGTTTCAGGGATGTTCACGAATTTACAAAAATATAAAATTAATAATTGCAACATCTTCCATTTAACTAGAAACTGCCTACCTACAGCTCTTTCAACCAATTAAATGCAATGATGATCAATTTAATTATCACTGTCGCGAACCATTGGAACTATTTTAAATCATGTATCTACTGATGTTGTAATTCAATTGTATCATTGCATTGTAACTAAAATGGTGGCTAAATCGCATAACTCATTGGCCTAAGTGCAAGAAAAACCGAATTCATTGGGCAAATTAACGATGAAGATCTAAAAAAGGCAATAGGGCAATGAACAAAAGGCGGCACAAAATTATTATGATTGCTCACTGAGAAATAAACCTTTTTAGAATATGCTATGTGTTTCGTCCCATTGTAATTTAATTTTTCCTTACCATTTCGTTTTGTCCTATTTTCCACCTTACTTCGTTAGCCTCCGTTTTTCCTTTCCAACTTAAAAGCAAACCTGCGCGGAAAAGGAGGGAATCGAGAAGGGTAGATTGCAGGGACAACACGCTAGAAAACCATAGAGTTCGGTCGTAAAATTAAGAAAAACCACAAGCCACCAACTGGTGTTCGTTTCGTTAATGTATTCGTCGTCGTACCGTTTAGCGGTAATTACTTAGAGTTGCAACCCTTCGTTTCGTCGCCTGTCCATCCACCAGCGCTCGTCTTTGTCGATACACAATGAGCCGCTCTTACCGGTCCGCCAAGAAATATATAATTCATACTACACATTAATTTTTGTCATTAAATAACGTCATAAATAGTTTGTTTACGTACATTTCTTTTCAATTTCTGTTTTAGATAAGGCACGAGATGGATATTCTGGTATAATAAAGAATATATTTAACTTAAACACACAAGTCTTAACAAATAAATTTTGGCAGAAAAAGAAGACTCCGCCTTTAACACAAGCCTGTACAAGTGATTTTTTACTATTGGATGATATACAAACAAAGCGATTGCTTCGCTTTTTTGAATTTGGGAGTTACTTGATAAATGCCAATATAATTTATCCACCATATAGTGAAAACACTCTTTTTAACGAAAGATTATTTTGGTCAATCTTCAACGAACTTGGAAATAGCGACGTTGTCTTTACAGATGGGTCAAAAGATGGAATTAAATGTGGATGTGCCTTTTATTATCCCCGAAGTAAGCTAAACCAAATATTTAGTCTAAAGTAGACATTTATCAATTTATACAGCGGAAGCAATTGCTATTTTGGAAGCATTGAAATTTTGTCAAAGAATTGGCTCGAAAAAAATTGCGGTGATGACAGATTCCAGGAGGGTCCTGCAGTCATTAGAGAATACCACAAAATTACCAAAAATGAACTATGTTGTCAGGGATATTATTAAACTATTAACGGAATTGCATTGTAGATCCGTAACTGTAACCTTTTATTGGACAAAAGCACATAGTAATATCCATTTCAATGAGGTAGCTGATGGCTTGGCGAAGTCATCGGATAGCCTAAGCGCATATATATACAGTAATAAAATTCCGTATACAGATGTGGTACCTCTTTTAAAGAGAAAAATTCTAAATGAATCGTGGAATATGTTGTGGAAAAACTATTATAAAACTAAAAGTACACAATATGCTAAAATACCCCCCACGGTTTACTCCAGGCCATGGTATGAAAAAAATTCTGCATTAAATCGTTGGGAATGTACCGAGATAGCTAGATTGAAGTTTGGGCATGGGAGCTACCCACCTCATTTGCATAAAATTAATTTAAAACCTACGTCGCAATGTTCATGTGGATACGAAATTGGAGATTTGAACCACATATTTTTTGCATGTCCCAATAACACTATAGCTACGAAAACATTACTAAATGAATTACAATCGCATGGCGTGTCTTTTCCCATAGAACTAATCTCCCTCCTGGCACTTGATAAAGAGCCAATATGTAGAAGCTTACTGAACTTTTTAAAGAATAGTAAATTAAGAATTTAAAAATATATACTTCGCGTCCGTTTGTGACCATCCATTGTTTGCCCTCCTATGCAACCGAGGTCTGAGTCTGTGTTTTGTGTCTTGAAAGAAGTCATTGTGAGGGACACCACAATGTGAAATTTTGTGCCCCTGTTTACTCATATTCCTGAAATCCCATCTTATTCGCGATAAAATAAACATTCAAACCAATCAGATAATAAGGCTCATGGGCTAGATCCCGAATAGCCTTAATTAAATTAAAAAAAAAAAAAAAAAAAGATTTCCTTTCATCATAAAGTCCACTTAATCGTTCGCGTATTAATCCTTTGTACCAGCGCGGAACACTATGATTTACCGATTGTGAATGGAGGGACCGGATGTAATTAGGGTGTAGCTCAGCCAGAACAGTGAATATATTCATACCTTCTTGATAAATAGAATTATATTTCAAGTCCAGTCCTCAATATTACATAATTAAGAACACTGTAGTACATGCTGTCTCCAGCTTTTAGCACAAGTTTTAAAGAATACACCAAAAATTCTGCGTCCGGTCCTGTCCGTATATTCCCGTTATTCATGTACCCACACCTACCGGCGCGATTTATCCTCATTATGCTTCTTGTGCTTTCAGCGTGAGTTTATTTTCGTCGACGTTATCGCGATAAGTATTTTTTTTGCGGTTTTATCTCGGCATTACCTGTGATTCAATCAGTAAGTACCGATGAATCGGTTTGTTACCGACAATTCTTTTTATTCTTACGAGTAGACTTTCTCATCTACTTGCGTGTTTGGACTTCTAACCTCAAAATTTTTCAGAATATTTATTACAGATTATTTCAGTTATTCGAAATGGGAAAGAATAAAAAACGAGCTAGATCAAACAGCTCAGATTCTGGAGACCGTGTAAGTTCCAAGAAACTGATGAAACGCATTAAAAAACTCGAAATTGAGTTAAAAAGGCAACGTTCTCGTTCTCGGTCGAATTCCGAAGGTCGTCACCGACGATTCCGGTCACGTACGCCAAAGCCTACGTCATCGACTCGTTCATCGCAAAGCCGGCAGTGTATGCCGCGTTCTTATTCTCGCTCTCCGGCCCCGAAACGTGTAGTTTCGACGAGGCTCAGGGAGAGTACGACGACTCCGAACCTTAGTCCGGACCATCAACGCAGTCCGCGTTCCTGGTCGCGATCTCCACCGCCGAAGCATGCAGCTAAAGCGGAAAGGAGTAAGGAGGCGGCAGTTTATACGGAAATATCAAACAACAATAATAAGAATGCGTGTAGCATTCCTAGCCCTGTTGCCAATAACGATATGTGTAGTGTCGTTAACTCTCCCGACAGGGACGAACTACAAATTTTTTGCGATGAGGAATTGCCTACCATGTCGGAGGATATTTTTAACTCCTTAGGAGAGGATCCGAATAGGGTAGCAACTAACAGTTTTTCACTGCACGAAAAACTGGTAACCAGATGGGACGCCTTATTAACTAATGGCTTAAAGAAGGGAGATTCACAAACCCTACTTAATAATTATGAATTACCATCTAATTTAAAGAGTTTATGCCCCCCTAAACTAAATCTTGAAGTAAAGGCTGCTTTACAAAAACAAAATATTTTGACAGACTCGGCTTATGTAGAGATACAAAACCAGTTAGGAAAAGGACTTACTGCCCTGGGTAAGGGCATAAGCTTATTGTTAGACAACCTAAACAAGATACCCGAGGATACAAGGAACCCAATTTTGACTAATTTGGGTGATTCCGGACGTATTCTTACTAATTTATCCCACAGGGTTTCCATTACCAGAAGAAGCCTTCTAGTCCCCTATTTAAACAAAAACGTCAAAGATCTGACAGATAATACATTAGGTTCTGAGTTTTTATTCGGATCCGACTTAAATGAGAAATTAACCTCTGCAAAGACTCTTGAGAGTATATCTAAAGAGTTAAAACTTCCTACCTCATTTAAAAGCCCTGTTAAAAAACTTACCAAATTGGGGGGGGCAAAGGGCCAACCATTACTGCGATACCAGAATCAGAAACCACATTTTCATTACCCGGCTCGTCATTCGGGGGAGACAGGGCCGCAGAAGTCTCTACAGGCCCCCAGAAGGTACAACAACAACTATGCTCCCAAGAAAAGAGACGGAGAGAGGAAGAAGAGGTATTAAACCATAGTGATTCGGTAAGTTCTAACTATGCAGGCCGCCTTCGGTTCTTTCTAAAATCCTGGTCGACTATAACTTGTAATCCAGTCATACTAGATTGGTTACAAGGATATAGACTACCCTTTGTACAATTACCATCTCAAAAACAAGCTGTGTTTTCAAAAACCTTGTCGGCTTTGAAACAAACAGAGATGGACTTACAAATTAATTATTTATTAAAGTTAGGTGCTATAAGAAGGTGCAATCCTTGTTTTGATCAATTCATTTCGACAACTTTCCTAGCCGATAAGCCCAATGGGAAAAAACGATTTATAATCAATTAAAAAAACTTGAATCGTTTTATCGTTGCACCGCATTTTAAAATGGAAGATGCTAGAACAGCAAACAGATTAATTCAATACGGTAATTACTCTGCTACCGTAGACCTTAAAGATGCTTATTATTTACTTCCAATCCATCCGGAACACAGAAAATATCTGAGATTTTACCATAAGGACATTCTCTTTGAATTTAATTGCTTGCCGTTCGGTCTAGCATCAGCACCCTATACATTCACAAAACTAATGAAACCAGTCGTCGAACATCTTAGACAACATGGCATTTCTAGTATAAACTATCTTGATGATTTTTTAATTTTGGGTCCTAGTAAAAAAGTGTGTACAAAAAATGTTAATTTTGTCACCACCCTACTTTTTTCCTTAGGCTTTATAGTAAATAAGGAAAAAAGTTCTTTAATCCCTAGCACTTCTTGTCGATTTCTAGGGTTTATATTCGACTCTATTAACCTAACAATTGAGTTACCAGGGGAAAAAAGGCAAAAAATTATAAAACAAATAAATTTTTTTATGCGTAAAGAAAAATGTAAAATCCTACATTTTGCCCAATTTCTCGGTTTAATTAATTCAGCCTGTATGGCGGCTCCGTACGGTCGTTTGTACACAAAGTTGTTAGAAAGAGCAAAATTTTTGGCGCTTAATCATAATAAAAACAACTATAATTCTTACATGAATATTTCGCAAGAAATTAAGTTAGATTTAATTTGGTGGGCTGACCATATTGAGGATTGCAAAAATTCTCTTAAAAGACACAATTTTTCTTTAGAGATCTCTACTGATGCTAGCCTCACAGGGTGGGGAGCGTACTGTAAGGGAGGGTCTACTCACGGTTGGTGGACAATCGATGAAGCTCAGGACCACATTAATATTCTCGAGCTTCAAGCCATTTTTTTCGGTTTACAATGCTTTGCAAAAGATTACAGAAGTTGTAATATTTTAATCAGAACGGATAATAGTACAGCTCTAGCGTACATTAACAAAATGGGAAGTGTTCAACATCCCAAGTTAAACTTACTATCCAGAAAGATATGGCAATGGTGCGAGAGATATGAGTTGTGGTTATTCGCCTCTTATATTAGCTCTAAAGATAATTGGAGGGCTGATCAAGCTTCCAGGATTTTAAAATCAGAAACAGAATGGTCTTTAAATGAGAAAATATTCCAAAATATTAAAATTAATTTTGGGGAACCAGATATGGACCTTTTTGCATCTAGACACAATAACAAATGCAAAAGGTACATATCATGGCAAAGAGACCCTGGATCAGAGGCAATAGACGCGTTCACGTTAGATTGGTCTAAATATTTTTTCTACGCATTCCCTCCCTTCTCCCTTGTTCTAAGAACAATTGAGAAAATAATTAACGATAAAGCCAAAGGTATCGTAGTTTTTCCATTGTGGAAAACACAAGCTTGGTATCCTATTCTTAAGACACTTATAATAGGAACTCAACTTGAATTTGGGCCTAAAGATAATATTCTTTTTTGTCCTTTTAGCAAGAAAACACACCCTTTGTCACAACAGCTTACCCTGGTGGCCGCAGTATTATCAGGGAGTCCTACAAAAGAAGAGGAATACCCAGTGAAGCTATCGACACAATGATCAGCTCACTTAGTGATTCCACAATCATTCAGTATGAGGTGACCTATAAATTATGGTGGAATTTCTGCAGAGATCGAAACATCTGCCCTTTTAACGTGGAATCGGAACCAGTTATTTCTTTTCTACAAAACATACTGGATTCTACTAATAACTTATTCGGGTCAGTTAACTCTCATAGATCAGCCCTCTCCTTAATTAGTATGAGTAATTTAGGAGATGATTTATCTCTTAAACGGTTTTTAAAGGGAGTGTTTAAACTGAGACCTCCCAAACCTAAATATAATTACACTTGGAATCCTGAAAAGGTCATAAGGTATTTTGATAAATCCGATGACAGCAGTTTAACTTTCCTCTCACATAAACTGGTTGCCCTTCTGACATTGGTGACGGGTCATCGATTACAAACGATTGCATTAATACGATGCTCTAATATCAACATAACTGATGAACGTATTAACATATTCATCCCAGATTTAATTAAGACATCTAAACCGAACAGTTATCAACCAAACTTAAGATTACCGTTTTTCAAAGAAAACAAAAATATCTGTGTCGCGTCGTGTTTATTAAGTTACCTGAACCACACGGAAAGTCACAGAAGAATAACTAACGATGATCATTTATTTCTAACTTGTTCTAAACCGTTCAAACCAGCAACGAAACAGACGTTAAGCCGATGGGTCAAGACCACACTTTATAAAGCCGGTGTGGACACAAAAATCTTTCAGGCCCATTCTACAAGACACGCCGCAACATCAGCAGCACTTAGAGGTGGTGTGTCTCTGGATGTTATAAGGCGTACCGCGGGATGGACTCAGTCATCTCAAACTTTCGCAAAATTTTACAACCGGCCCTTGATGGAAAACAATAACTTTGCAGAATGCATTTTAAGTCAAGGAACAATCAGTATTAACTCTCAGTTATAGACTTTAATACCTTAAGATTCAGGTCAAATTTCACTTACCTGCAAAATAGTTTTTATAAGTTTAGTAAATACTTACCACAGGGAAAAAATCTGTTACTTAAGTATGCGTATATAGGTTTCTTGTAGAATACTTTTTTGGTTGTTCAAAAACTAGTTTTCTTTTCTTACTTTTGGTGCTTTAGTATGCCTTTCTTGCTGTTATAAATGTTATTATGTATAAACAATATAGAGCGAGTGTTTTACGTCCACATTCTTTAAACATCTACAGTGTTCTTAATTATGTAATATTGAGGACTGGACTTGAAATATAATTTATCGATCAAAAGAACTTACCTGAAGTTCGATCGTAATTATATGAAAGTCCAGTCCGAAAATATTACAACCCACCCCTCCTCTCCCGTATGAACGTAAAACAAATTGTCTTTAAAATAATGAGGATAAATCGCGCCGGTAGGTGTGGGTACATGAATAACGGGAATATACGGACAGGACCGGACGCAGAATTTTTGGTGTATTCTTTAAAACTTGTGCTAAAAGCTGGAGACAGCATGTACTACAGTGTTCTTAATTATGTAATATTGAGGACTGGACTTTCATATAATTACGATCGAACTTCAGGTAAGTTCTTTTGATCGATAAATCAAAGAGTATTATAACGAATTTTCTCGAAAACGAATTGACCGATTTGAAAAAATCAAACTTGAAAACTTCGAAAAACCATTCAAACAAGCCATTACTCAATACCACTTGTCATTTAAAACTTTTAAGGGAATGACCCTGGGTGGCAGAGGGTGAAAGGGGGGAAGAGTCTTGGTTAAAAAGTTGTCCCCCTTGACAAATCTTTTGCCGTGTTTCGGCGTTTTTCCTTTAATTAGTGGTTTTCGATCTGGATATAGAAAGTACCGTAATCATCCGCCATTTTTTGGCAAATTTGCTGCAAACTTAAAAAAAATTGACAAATAAAATCTGATTAGCTGAAATTTTTTAATAACCTAACTTTACATAGTACTGTCATGTTTTATAAAAATATATACGAAAGGGTACTTATATCAGTCGACCAATAATAATATTTCGTCTCGGGACTGTGCAATGAAACAAGCACAAACATTATTCTGACTACTTCCAAGAATCCTCCACATAAAATAATCTACTATAATTATTATTGTTGATATTTGGATGTAAGATAGTTATGTAGGTGTGTGCTGTTAGGATATCCGAGCATCTGCCACTAATTTCGCAGAAGGCGCGGCGGTGGTGGGTGGTCGAAGATTTAAAAAATTTAAACGTCTTATTATTAATAAACTTTGATTTATTTTATTTATATGAATGTACTGAAATGATAAATAATTATGCGAGACGATTTTTGCGGTATACACGCTGATTCAAATTCGAGGGCCACCATTGGTATCTCGGAAACTGTAAGAGATAGGTAGGTAGTTTAAATTTGGTAAAGTTGCGTATTTTGATGCTTAACGAAATGCGATTTTGAAACTGAAGATATCCGGAAAAAAACGAAATTTCGCAACATCGTTTTTTTTTACTGAAGTTATTTAAAACATATTTCAAAATAAATGACACTTTATTATGGCCACTTTCTTCCTCTATAAGATGATAGTTTTAAATTTTAAGTCGGACGTTTCGTCTCCGGTTAACCATCATCAACCTTTTTTTTTCTTATGGAAACCATTTTCATTTTTTTTTCAGTTTCAAAACGCATTTTGGTTAAGCATCAAGTGCCAAATTTAAACTACCTACCTAGTGCTCACACTTTCCGAGATCCCCATGGTGGCCCTCCACTTTGAATCAACCTGTATACTCTTTGAAAGACGCCATTAATTAGAATATGTAATAGGGAATTGTCGCGTTTATAATAGTATAAATGAAGACCATTACTACCATCTGATTGGTGCACATGACTAGATCACCGACTTTAAAAGCGATCCGACGTCGCGGGTTCGAACCGAATTTTGTACACGTTTTTAAGACATAAAAGGAAGGGCTGAAGAGCTTTTGAACCAATTGGAATCAAATTTAGTACACATATTCTTAGACATAAAAGCGCAAAATCGCGCATGGGCAGGTGTGAGGGTGGTATCTCTACCAAATTTTTTTGTGCAACCGAAATATTTTGTTTTTTTACGCGCGCACACTTTATATACGACATGTGCGTCATTGAAAAGATAACGACAAAAGACACTTTCGAATTCGAATGTGTTTATCGCAAATTTAAGTGTAGTGTAGTGGACGAAAGAGTTTTTCTTAAATGGAAAGCAAAAATCTACACTAATTTATATAACGTCAGTAAAACCATTATTTGGGGAGGATAGGGTAGCTTCATGATGAAATCATACTTTGAAATGAACTCTCAGAAAACTAAAATGGAATTTAATTTAAGGAATAAGGAGAAATTGAACGATTTCTAATTGATGCACGAACCTTTCCAAGATCTAGCATTAAAAATCACATAGGATAGGACTGTTGAATTCTTGCATTTAATTGCTTAACAGTAACAGTATTAATATCTAAGGCAATTAATGCCAAAATTTATATGATGCTCTCTGGTCTGAAATTGTAGTAATAAATCAGATTTGCTCTTGCATCGTGACTATGAAATAAAATTATCCTCCTTTCGGGTTAGCTCTTTTCCCCAAGCTATTTCCCAATGCTGATCCCTTGACCCAAACCATTGAACAATAGTAATCGAATACAAGCTTGTTCATACCCTGTTTTCAGGTTCCGGTTTAAATAGATTATCCATTTTATATGTGCTTTGTGTTAAAGTATCTTATTACGCGATTGTTGAACACGACGTTTCATTAGATGCACTCGTGGAGCTCTAATTCAATATCAACGGAAATTAAAGGCCTCTTATTTCATTTCTGTTTTATCTTGGACACCTTTTGCTTACAGGAATTGAATTCCGTTTGTTGCATTACATATTACATCAATCTCGCTTGCATTCCTCGTCGATAAGTTAGGTAGGCTTGCATGGGTAGGTACTAAGAAAAGTAATTCCTATCTAAATATAATAGAACAAGAGCTCGAGACAGAAAAAGGTGTAGGTACAGTGTACTTATACATCTTATTTTTAAAACAATTAAATTATTGATTACCTACACACATTGGAGTGCGATACAAATACCTGTGCATAGTTCTAAAGGAATGTGTAACAGAATAATTTATTTTAAAAAGTAATCAAACGATACGGAAATTATGCGGTTTTTGTACGCAAAGGAAGGTGGCAAACAATGAAAAGTTAAATTGGATTATAAATAAATTTTGATCCACGGTAGTGCTTGTTGCGCTGGACCTTGTGGTATAATGTGCTTCTAAGAAATCACTGAACAAAAGAAGTACTTTCGTAAAAGTGACTACATACAATGCTTACTTTTGTTCTTTCTGCAAGTTACTTACTTACTAACTGGGAAAGGTGTGCAACAAAATATATAGTTTTAAGATGTATACAAAGAAAACTAAAAGTGTAAAAGTAGAGTGTACAGTCAATAATATGTTGCACTATTGTTTGTTGCTTCATATTCGCGTACGTGCTCTTCTGTAATGTATCACGTTTTCTCACCACAGAAAATACCGTTTCATAAATCCCACTCTCGTTATTTTAATCACACCTCATCTACCTCAACTATAGCAAAAGGGAGAAATAAACGTCCAAGCTCATGAATATTTTTCATCTAATATCGGAAAGAGCGTTTAGGTATTTAATAAAATTTCTCTTCAAAGTTATTGGGCAGGAATTCCGTGCCTATGGGGAATTCAACAAATGTTAAATAGAAGGTGATAAAATTGATTTTACAATGAAAACGAAATGATCCTAATATGTATAATTGAAATAGCAGGTACGTTACCGGTTTATTGTCAGCGTTGATCAACCGAGCTTTAACCATCCAATATTGCATAAACTACTATAAATATCTTAATGTAATTAATAATACACGTTTCTCGCGTACTTGTCTTCTACTTCTAGAATTGTACAGTTCCATGTTTTCGTTCATTTCGTCTTTAAGAAGACAAACCCCGAATAGAACGGTCACATACTCTGTAGGGTGTTCCAATGAAATTTGCATCCTCTACTAAATCCCTGACTAAACCAGTTTACAGAAAATTAACAAAAACTGACCGAATACGATATATCTCGCATTTTATAGCTTTAGGAAATAGTAACCGTTACCTTAAAAATTTGAAATGTCACATGGGGTCGTGGGCCCTTTTTTTCGGATCTTACCTTAGTTTTACCTTTGAATATAAAATATTTTTACGATTTCTTTTTCTACGGTTAATCATAATTATCATAAATTATAAAGTATAAAGTGATTTATTAGCATCTTGACATATATGGTATATGATAATGCAAGTCAAGTACAAGAATAAATACACAAAAGAAGATAGTACACACGGCTCAGTTTCCTTCACAGAGTTTGCAATTCGTAGAATTCATTTAGTGAATAGAGGGCTTGCCTATGTAAATATTTCTTAACTATATTTTTGAAAGAGTTGAAATTATTGATACTTTTAATTTTAGAGGGCAATGAATTGTACAACTTTTTGCAAGCATAAAACGGTGACTTCTCATAAAAAGTCGATTTGTGCAAATCTGTCGGTAGCAAGTCATTAAATCTTGTATTGTAATTATGATGTGAGTTATCGCTAAATTTTGTTATATTACGCTTTGCATACTTTAGACAGTTGTAGATATAAATTGAGTATATCGTCATAATTTTATGCTTTTCGTTCTACAAGATTCCCTTTTATTTAGGTTGAATATCAATCGCAAGATTCTCTTCTGAGCAATAAATACCCTATTAATGGAGGCAGCTTGTCCCCATAACATGATATTATATGTTAAGTGCGAGTACGCTAGAGCATAATAGACATTCACTAGGCACGCCATATCAACCATATTTTTTATTTTATAAATTGCAAAGTAGCAACTGTTAAGTTTCGAAGTAACATGGTCAATATGCTGTTGCCACGAAAAAGAGCCATCGACACTAACTCCTAGGAACTTTACATTAGTTTCCAAATATAATTTCGATTTAGCCAGCCCTGAACTCAATATTGAATCCGGCAGTTTCTTTTTACTAAAATACAAACATTTTGTCTTAGCAATATTAAGAATCATACCATTGTCTGTACACCAAGACTTAAAAGCACACGTTACATACTCCACACGAGCTAAGAGTTCCCCAGTAGAAGGTGCCGCCACAACCATTGAAGTGTCATCAGCAAAGATTGTAATATTATTCGTTGTTATATAGTTTGGCATATCATTCATAAAAATAATGAATAATAAGGGCCCCATCACGGATCCCTGGGGAACACCCAGCTGAACAGGGTACTCTTCAGATAACTGATCTCTAACCCTAACAACTAACCTCCTGTGATCCAAGTAGTTGCAGATTACATTTAAGGTAGCTCCGCGAATGCCCAAAGCTGATAATTTGTCTTTTAGAAATCTGGGGCTG